TTCTTCCCATTTAAGTAGTGTAAGACATTTAGATACCCCTTAGTAAAATAGAAAAAGAAGGAATAATCTGAATATCAAGTAGTCTTTTAACTTTAAATGCTGCAAGGTCCTACAGTAAATAAGCTGTACTGAGATGCACACATTACAATTTTTGCAAGCTATACGCAAGCCACTTTCCCTCTGGAGGGTCACAGCAGCCAGACCTGTCTGACCCAGCAGAATCCTGTTGTTCCCTTCACAGGTTTACAGCGGGTAGGAAAGTAAATTCTATTTCCTCCGCTGTGATGTACTGTTGGACTAAATTTGACCTACTATTTGTTTTGCAAATGTTTTAACATGTTGTTTAATTTGCCATTATTTGATAAAACAGCATGTTTATTTATAAAATAGACACTGTATATGCATTATTTGATCCAGTTGCTTGAGTAACTTTATTTCACCTAATCTTCCCTCGCATCACAATACAGAGGCAACAAGCAACTGCACAGCACTTTTCCAGCTTACTGTAAACTTCAGGAGGGAACAGTAACTACTCACCGAGATAAGTATTAGTCACCACTGTTAAAAATAAATAAACAAATAACAGAAACAAAGAACACCACACATAATCATGTATTATTTAAGAAATCAAAGTTACCATTTTGTAGCTGATATTATAAAGATGGAAATGTTAAGAAAGACTTTCTTCATATTGCTGCAAGAATCCCAGCTGCTGAGCATTTACTGCTACCCTGTAAAACTGCAGTGGAGAAATTCCCTGCTGCAATAAAAATGTCCATTAACCCATAAACAAGAGACACGTCAGTTGCTTTAAAGAAAAAAAAAAAAAAAGGCGACAATGTTAGGACAGCCTTTCATCCTTAGTGTGTTTCAAAGGCTTAAAGACACATTTTGCTGCCTAAATATAACCATCAATATTACCACACTAGTACCCTTAACAAATTTTTTGTGAAACAGTATTTGTTAGTTCTGTTGGGAAACACAAAAAAAACAAGTTGCAAGGGAAAGTATTACAGATTGTTCAGTGGTGAAGAGATTATATCAACTTTTCAAAGCTGTCAATCATGCAAGCCAACAATAAAATCATCTTGAAATACCAAAAAAATACCACCTGAGCATATCCGGAAAATTCAACACAGTGAACTCTCTTACTGGATATAGTTATCATTTTCAATGTGACTAGGTTCTTTGCAGTATAATGAGGGCTCTTCTTGTTTACTTGTTTAGGGAGTTTTGTTTTATGGACTTATGACTAGGAACCAGTCCTTAACACCTCTACTCTCCACACACAGCTCTGCAAGCAGAGCATGGTGCAACTCAATATCCTTGACAGCTTTGCTTTGCAAAACCCCTGTCTGTTTGCTAATGCCTGGTGCAGAATCAAGACAAAGCACTTCTCTTGTAAACAACTCAAAATACAGGTGCTTTAGGTGGTTTTGCTTGCTTTGTCTTTGAATGACTGGCACTTGGAAGCTGGATAAGCTTAGGCTATCTTTGAACAGAAAGAAGTTTAGAAAGGTGTTAGGCACTTGTAACAGAAGATTTAGAAAAGACTGTAATAGACATTATGGGCTGGCATCTGATTCTTCTTGTATCATCTTCAGGCAAGCTTTGGCATTCTGTAGAACTGCTTCACTTAAAAACACTTCATTGTATTAGCATACCTGGGTGTGAAATAATCTAGAGCAATATGGACTTGCATTTTCTTGCATTTGAATTTACTCACCTGCTTTTTGCCTGTAGGATTGTATACACTAGAGTCCCCCAAATGTAACACTCTTATCTTAGATTAATCTAAGACATCACTATAGTTTCGTAAATCAGTGAAAGGCCTTTAAAATTCAAATACACTGTTCAATGCCCAGTCCAGATGTTTTCTTTCTTGCTTATTCCAGCCATGTATGATTTGCACAGAGCTTGTGTACTTTCATATGTACACACAACAAAAATCATTTGAGTGTCAATACTGCACACTTTAATCCCACAAAATATGCTATGCAGTGGCCTTTTATTGCAGCTCCATTCATATAACCTGTTAGATTCATTTAAAAACCTGATCCAGGAAGGTCATTCCTATGAATGAGAATCAGAAAACGCATGATAAAATGGGTTTCAGTTTTTAGACTTTGCGTAATGGTGTTTCATTTCTTGATTTCCCAATTGTTTTTTTTTTAATGAACACCACTGAATATTTAGCAGGAATGACCAAGAACCTTAAGTCAGAGTCTGCATTTCTGGATTTAAAGAGCTGACTAATGTATAAAGGGTAGCAAATCACTGATAACCGCTCAAGGCCTCCAGTAACTTAAAATGGACATCAGCAGATTATTTATTGCACTTTGAAATGGGTTTTACAGATTCAGAAGGAGAAAGGCAGGTACACTAAGAATGAGAGGTAAAAAGAAATAAAGCATTAAAAGCTTGTTTGAATTTAAAAAAATCTGCCGAAAAATGAAACTATTAATAAATAAAACTGCAAACATTCCATGAGATATTTTTTTAATCTTTAGCTAAACCTTACCCTTTCCTACTTGACTAAATCCATATTAGTATTTCCCATTAACAGACAAATTACATTTTGGAGACAGAAGCGTCATTAACTGCAGATATGCTAGTTTTGCTTCTTACCTGCAGTGATAAGGCTGCCATTTGGACAAAGCAGAAGCAGGAACTCTGTTTATTTTTATCATCTCCTGTAGTTGCTGTGTAGAAGTGCATGTGCCTAGGCTTCCTTCACAGTTATTCCAGACAAAGCCAGTAAAATGAAGGGCCAAAAATTGTACAGTTCTCCGGCTATGTCGTGTTTTAAGTCCAGCTGGTAACTCAGAACCATGCAGCCGCTTGCTCACTCCCCTCCTTTTTTCCTCCCCCCGTTCCCAGAGGGATAGGGAGGAGAATCAAAAGAATGTAACTCCCACGGGTTGAGGTAAGAACAGTCCAGTAACTAAGGTATAATACAAACCACTACTGCTACCACCAATACTAATAATGATAGGGGAAATAACAAGGGAAGAGAATACAATCGCTCACTACCGATACTCAGCCCAACCCGAGCAGTGATCTAACGCTTCCAGGTAACTGCCCCCAATCTATATACCGGGCATGACGTGCTGTGGTATGGAATACCTCTTTGGCTGGTTTGGGTCAGGTGTCCTGCCTCTGCTTTCTCCCAGCTTCCCTTCATCCCTGGCAGAGCATGAGACTGAGAAAGTCCTTGGTAGGAGTAAACATTACTTAGCAAGAATTAAAAACATCACTGTTATCAGTGCTGTTCCCAGATTAAAGTAAAAAACACAGCACTGCACCAGCTACTAATAAGGAGAAATATGACTGCTACAGCTGAATGCAGGTCAGACTATACAGAAAAACATTTTTGGATGAGGTAACTTTTTTGTACTTCAGAACTGTGATGTTCAAATTTGCATTGGCTCCAAGGATCCTAGACAGATAACTTAGGCTCAGACACCTGCATAGTGATTAGATGAGAAAAGTCCCGCCCTGAAAGTCCATGGGATGGGGTAACTTCAGAGAGGATTTATTTTTCCCTAGGATCTAGGTATTATTTCCTAGAATAGGACTTCTAGTCAAAGCTAAAACTCGCATTCATTCCCCTGAAATCAGGTCCAGGTCAAATGGGGTAATAAAATAATATGGGGTAACAGGTCCAGAGAGAAACCGCTGCTTTTTGACCTGGTGACTCTGGAATGACACCAGCTTGGGAAACGGGAAGAAAGAAAGGGCTTTTTTGTCATATTTCAATGTAAGAGTGATTGAAAATGACATTTAAAGTTAATGCTTTGTTTCAGTTTTAGGGCCACAAATTTGTTGTGCCTTTATACTTAAAATTTTCTATGCCTGAAATCAAGTTGCTGGATTTTGAACACTACGACAGATTTCATATTCTGAACTTGTACATTAACCTTTTGAATTCATATACCAGCTTAAATTTTGATGTACGTCAAACACAAGATGTTAGGCATATTCACTGCAGTTCTCTACATGCTTATAGCCGTGTACTGGCTTTCACCTCCTAACAGAGAACCTGCCATCTGCAATTAAATCCCTATCTTCTAAATGCAATTTATAGTTCCCAGGCCATGTTCAGTCAGCTTCCTTAGAGGACTCCATCTGTTCTGAAGCTGTTACTTCTTTTTTTTTTTTTCCCTGCTGCTATCATTATACTCTTTTTCCCAACAACTTCATAAACTCTCTTAATGTGTTCTACCTTAGCCCTTCAAGTTATCAAATGATGGCACTGTTGGTAAAAAAAAAGGACAGATTTCACACAGAAAAATAACACAAAGGTCATCCATTTTCCTTGCTATCTACAAAATTAAATCAAACAATCAAACATTGGTCTTATACAGTCTAATAATTAATATTTCAACAAAAAAAAATCATTCTTTTTTGTACAGCTTTCAACTGGCACAACTGTTAGTGTATTTCAGCCATTTGTGCTTCCAGTGCTATTAAGTGAGGGTAATTTCAGACTTTCAAGAGTTCCTCCTAGAAAAGGATATGAGGCAGGTTCACATTCTGCACATACTAACAAGAGATTAACATAGCTATGCTGGCCATGGTAGAGTTCTCCAGAAAATCCCAACAGAGGACAAAAGGTAGGCATTTTAAGTTTCCCTTTGGAGATACCATTTAATGCTTCCAGCAAACCTTCATATCCAAAAGTGTCTACTAAAAAAAAATGGTATCAGGTGGTAAAATGGACGCTGTTCTTCAATAAGTTTGCATTTATCATTTTAACTATACAGAGTTATAAAGCACATTTAGCATTTTTGTCCATTACTACAGAAAGAAGAAATGGTAGGCAATAATGTTTGACCATGCACTACCAGCTATTGAAAACAACTCTCATTTTACAACTGTGATAGGACTAGGAACCAGCTGAAGTGCTTTTGACAATAGCAAGATAATGAGTACAGTTCCATTGAAAAAAATCCTGAGGAAAATCCATCCTTTTTTGATAATTCTCTCTGGACACTATCAGTTCTTTGAAAACTTGGCTGATCTCTGGATGGAGCCTTCCTGGTTTAACAGGAGTACAGACCAATAGCAGCAGCACAAGAGCAATTCAGTGGAGGCATTGATAGGCATTATCCAAAAAACATGATACATGTAATGTCTGTTGAGACATTGAAATAACTTGTATGGAGTGGGTGGATATAAATTCTAAAGACTACCTGGATACATCAATGGCACTCTATAGCCTGCAAGTAGGCCAAAGAACCAGTAGCATTTTGCTCCATGTGAAAATGGCTTTTACATCTACAGAAGGATCACAGCAACTTCACCTGAGAGCTGCAACTTCTTCATATTTTAAAATCTTCAAAAAATAAACATTATTTTCTCTCCAGGATTCATTTAAGCAATACTGCACAGGATGATCAAAGGTAAGGCTATCATGGAGAAAGCACAAACCTCTCAAGTTTCCTTCCTGTTGTTGCTATGTTTTTGTTAGATGCATCAGTGTTTCCATAGCCTCTTAACTGAACTACATAAGTTAACTCATATAAATATAGTGTATGCTATATATATATATATATAACCAAGGTGGGTTTTTTATATAACGTATGGGTATATTCTGGGATTATATAGAGCTGGGAATACCACACTCTCATGCCCCTGTACAGTGCAAAGAGAAACCTCAAGACCAAGGGGAATTGGTCAGGCAGAAATATCCTTTCTCACATTTCACAATGGCAAATACAACTGTTAAGTTTTTCTTTTTCCATCTAGAGAGATATTATAAATATATCTGAGAAGGCACAGACTAATCTCTTACATACACCCTTGATTCAGTTCATCCCCTCTCTCCTTTGACACTGACTATAGACTTCTTAGTCATTTCAGTAAGTTTACATTTTTTTCTTAGCTATTTCCAACAAACCACAGTTACATGGCAGGGAGATGAAAGGTTGAGCAAGATTCTCAGGGCTCAAGAGTAAAGTCCCTAACAAGGCACAGCTGATCTACAGACAGACAGACAAAGATATCAACCATGTGTTGAAAATAAACAGTTGCAGTCAATTCTCTGGTGATGGTGAAAGGGGAATACCACACTGGCAATATTGGAGCAGTGAGAACAACGCTGCCACTTCTATGGACCTGCGTTAGTCCAGCGATAGGAATATATTGTTTATGCAGTCCTAGTTCTTGTGTCTAATCTGCTGTTCTCATCATCTCGACCTGACATGAATGGTTTTGAAATCATTTGTTCATGTCAGAATTGTGATAGTATCACAGTAAGGCAATTCTGTCTGCAAAAGAACAGCTCTGACTGATAGACAACAGGTAAGTGAATGCTAGATATACAATATTTTAGGTACTTTTTATAAACTTTTCTGCTTCTGAGCTGCCTCATATCCAATGTTCCCAAAGCAATTTGCTAATATTCATAAATCTCAATGTACCTTGAAAGCTACTATATAACAGAAGTATGCATCAATAGAAACACAAAAGAAATTTGCATTTGTCCCAGCTCATACAGCCTAAGAGAAGGGAGAAGGGGTCTAGCTCCTCCTACCCTATCTTTCATCCCCTCATCTCCTTCTGAGGCAATTTACCAAGCTACATAATGGACTTATAAATATCAATCTGTGAGGAGCCATTTAATACCCTGAGGTGAATATGCCCATCACAACAGCAAGTTTACCAGTTTCTGGTAGGCAAAGTCAGTCTAAGTATCTGATACCCTCCTGGTTATTGTGAAGCAGTATTTTCTTAGCAGTAATTTGGCTCTGTTGCTGAAGTGAACATACTCAAACAGAACGGTGTGTACATCTGCAACAAATGCCCATTAAAATACTGCTACCATTGCAGTAGCTTTCTGAATAATGGCAATTACCTGTACATTGTGGAAAACGTGTTATTTATGTAACTGTTTAACATTTTTCAAATTAAACCTTACATAACCACACTCAGAAAAGAGAAGGCTGCATGTGTTAATAGGTACCTGCATTGTTTACAGACTCTGCAGGTCTCCAAACAACGAACATCAATTTCAGGAAAACAAAGATACAAAAGAGAAAACAATATATTGAACAAGTAGTAATTTTCCATATTACTTTCACTTCAAGCACATATAAAATTCTTCCATACATTCTTTATATCCTCCACTAGCAAGTAAACAGTCCAATTGCAGCAAACAAAAAATCAGTTTGTCTTATTTAAAAGAAAATCAACAGTTCAGTCACAATTTTTATGAAGACATATCTCATGTTTAAGAACACAGCTCGTTAATATTTTTATCTGTTGAAAATGAATCACTGAAATCAATGAAAAACAAAATATTTGTTGATATAAAAAAATAACTAGGGCTGAAATTAGTATTTATTATTTAACCAAAGTTTCATGTATTTGAGCAGCAATTGATAATGTAATTTATTACCTATGAAAGCAGTAAGCCTGTTGAGAAGTTACTGCATTTTGTTCTTGCTATATCACTTTTAAATAGAGACACTCTTCACGAAAGGACAAACATATAAGAAGCATTAACTAAAAGAAGTTGACTAAAAGAAACTTTTAAACTTTCATTATGGATTGATTATTATTATTTTCACAGATAACCAGGGCCTGTATGATGAAATAAGAAGTCTATACAGTTTCAGGAAGCAAATCTTCGACTCTTATGCCCTGCAGCTTCCCAAAGGCAAGAGGCTGAGCAATGCACTGTAGCAGAGGAATTGCCCCCAGCACTATGATGGTGACCCTTCAGGTCAATCATCCCTGGACAAAAAAGCTATTGCCAGCACAGCTAAGGTTTGGCAACGATTTGGGAGCAAACTCTGGACCTGCATCAACCATTAGGGGTGAGAGAAGACTCTTAAAGGGAAAAAACCTGAAAGCTCAAGTATCCATTTTCCCCTAAGCAGAAAAGTTTTGGCAGTTTCTTTGTTTGTTTGTTTTTACATTGGTAATTGTATTGTTTTTCCTGGCCTCGATCCTATCTTTCAGGAGGAAAGGGGAAATTTTCACAAAAAGAAAAGAAAATTTTAATTAACTCTTGTTAGTAACATTTCAGGTTTTTTTCTTTTCTGAGCAAAGGATTATGCTGCTTCCTGTTTCACACAATAAGAACTATGGATATCTATTATTTCAGATTTCAAGCACGTCATTTTCTAGCTACATTATTTTTAGGTTCAAATGATTACAGATATTTTGTAAACAAAAAGAAATCATAATTATCAGATTGAAAGCAGACGCAGGTCACTGCAATGTAACACTTTACATAAGAATCAATAGAAATGTCAACACAACTAAAGGCACCATAAGACATTCCAGTGGAGGGAAGAAAATTTCCTTCATTTTCTACTTAGACGCCTTGCTTCCTTTATCAGCAGATGGCAAGCAAATTACTAGTTCAATCCATATGTCTGTATCTGATAGACAGTGTTCTACAAGTCTGAAATTAGTTTGAAACATTTTGATGTTGGCCAGACTACAGAGGAAAACAGGATAACTTTGTCTATTAATGAAAAGTTGGTTTTGTCATAACAAATACTTCCACAAGCTATTACCCATCCAGACTCATTCAGTCGCTAATGGAATTTGTACCCAAGGACATAATCTGTGTTTAACAGACTAACAATTTGTAGTTTCATCCAGTCTGTTCTGATGCTGTGCTCCAACACGTCTCCTTCCACTAGCTGAGGTTTACTTAGTGGGGCTGATGAAAGCAAGTAAGGCCATGAGAATATTTTTGGTAGGAAGGGTATCAGATCAGTAGGGCCATTTATGTTCACGCTAGTAGGCATTCAAGAGAGAACTTGTCAGAGCAAAGCCCATGCAGACCAGCAACCAGGCTCCAACCATGGCAAAGTGCAGATGTTGAGAAGAAGATTTAGACAATTGTGCTTAATCTCTCCCCATCAGGAAGCCTCCGTTAGTGAAGCAGGCAATGTATATTTTAGGAAAGGCAGCTCAGAGAGCCCAGACAGTTCTTATAACAAAATGAATGGTTTGGCATTTTTGCTTTCAAAAAAAAGCTCCAAATTTGGAGCATCTCAATGAGTTTTACTATAGAAAACTGTGAGTTCTGCGGAAGATTGATGGGGGAGAGAGCCAAAGCAAGCTAAAGAAGACAAGAAAAGAGAGGATACAGTGAAGCTTCCTTGCAACCTGGCCAAGCAAAGACAGAAGCAGATCTATACTGATAAAAATAGCAGACATCAGGGGTTGAGAAGCATCCACAGCCAGGCAGAGCACCAGGCACACCCCTCAGCCCTCCAGGTGCTGGGAGCCCTTCGCTGCGGACAGCCAGATGAAAGTCCTTTTATATCCCTAGAAGCTACAAAATTTAACTTCTTTGCCAAGGACCTAGAAAACCAGCACAGATAAAATATTTCTCAATTCAGTGACTTTAAAAATGTCCTTTCCTTACAACAGCTATGTACCTGGTGGACTGGTGTGCGAAATAGCTTATGCTTCACTTCTTAAGGAGGCTATCACTGAGAGCTTCAAATAGCTTTAGCAATGATTAAAGCCTCACCCCAGGCTGTCTGTTCACTCACTGAAATGATACATTTCAGAAAAAAATTCAGTCTAGAGGTCTACCCCAATGCAAACTCGGGGCATTAAAGCCAAATGAAATTCATCTAGTCCAATCCACGTGCCGGAGGGGGGGGATCTAGGTGTTACCTGCTCCGGCAGGGGGACTGGACTAGATGATCTTTTGAGGTCCCTTCCAATCTCTAGCATACTGTGATACTGTGATACTGTGATATGCAGTTGGTTTGAGTCAAACTGTGCCACACAAGAAGCCACTTAGCTGAACATTATACCAAGAAACTGAGGCACCAAATTAACAGACATCAACTATCCTCTTAATTTTTTTAGAAGTCCCTACATTAAACCTGCTCTGACAGTTCTTATGGATGACCATGGCAAAGACCTCTACCCTTCAACCGTTTAGTTGGCTATTAAAAGGTGAAGGCAAATCGATTAAGTGATTATTAACTTTACAGTCTTAAAGGCATTAAAAGATCTATTTTTAAATCCACACAGATTTAAAACTTCTGCTAAGCAGAACATAATTTGCTGTAATGGAAAAATCAGTAAAGTTGTAACATACAACTTCGCTTTAAAAATTAGTAATATTAGTTCCACAAATCATTTGGCCAGATAACTACAAAAATTCTGTGTTCAGTTGAAAAGCCTCCTCATTCTTAATTCAAAAACAGATTTTTTTAAATTTTATTTAATTTTTAAAACTAATTTGAAATTAGTAAACAAGCCAGTAAAACAGATATATGCACACAAACATATATAGGTGCCAAGATGCTTAAAAGCCTGAAGCATACAAGATTTTAATCACGTTTTCTACTAGCTCTCCCCACCCCTCAAACACTGCATAAGGTAAGGTTTATGAGAATTTAAAACAAACAGAAATATTTAATTTTCTAGCATACGTCAGTCAAATATAAATGAATTTTAGTAACATACTAATAGGTATACCATGCTACTGTCAATGGAGAACTTTACAGATGTTTGGCTTCTTTATCAGCTGCAGGGAGGAATGCCAAAATGATCACCATAACTGAGTCCATTAACTGAATTGTGAAGAGAATGCTTTTCTCAAGAAAGAAGCTGACTAAGCTTATTCTGCACAATGCAAACTTTTAAACAGATCTGGAATATATCCACTTTGGGTTGGGAGAGGAGCTGCCACATAATGTAAAAAAAAAAAATATGGAATATAACTTAGCATTTTCTCTTTTAACTCAAAAACATAACCCCATGAACATTAAAGCAGTTACTATCAGAAATAAAATCATAAATATGTAAAGATATTATTCTCCATGTGTCTTATAAACGGAATAATAGCGGGATATTAAGACTTGCTTTGATTTGAAAGCTTTCACCTTGTGGTGTCTGCCTTACAGCCTTTTAGTCATGTACAGACTGGAGCAGCAAGAGCTTTGAAGTGCCCAACTTCCAGCAAAGTTTCTAACATTTTTTTAGTAAGTCTAAAGAGGTCTGTGTGTGATTTACTGTTATTTCAGAACAAGCTCAGAAATTCGCCCTAACACAAAAAGATACAATTTCTTCAGGAAAGAATGGGAGAGTCATTTGATCACACTACCCCTATTGGTGCATGGGGAGGAGAGCAGCATGAAAATACTTTGTCAACACAATCAAGTCAAATTCAAAATACTGGATATATCAACGATGACACTGAGAACTTTAAGGGAAACAAGTCAGAGTTTTGTATAGATGAGATTTTTTTTTTATTTTCTTTATTTTTTGCATCCAGTAAATACAGTTTAAGTGATTCACAGCCAATTTCATAATTGCAGTGAAGCAGCTGTGATCAAACTCTATTTGTAGCATCATAATAAATTTGCCCCCCACCTACTAAAATTAGTTCTAAGCATCCAAAATTCCCATTTGAACATCTGACTGAACAAAACATCCATTACTTCATGCCAAAAACTGGAGGAAATAGACCTGAAATATGCCATTTTCTCACCAGAAATTGTAGGCTCCCAGAATAACATGTGAATTAAAACTCATTCTAAGCTTGTTTGCATTGCTCCTCGTTCCCATTCATAACAAATTCCCTAACAAATGTTCTGATTATTTCTCTTTTTCCTCACTTTTTTTTTTTTTAATTTAAACACAATTTCCAAATCACAGACAGTCTTGCAAGCAGAAACAGCCAACAGTACAACCCATCTGAAAATGGAGAGGGTGGAATTTTACTCTAAGCAAGTGCTGGAGGCAACCCACATGATTAAAGACTGCACCGTAAGCCATTGTTAAAAGACTGCTTCCCATAAGTGAAAACGTGTAGTTTGCCACTATGCACATCAGAGGCACATAAACCAAAATGAGGTCAAAGAAGAAATGCAAATGCCTCGCTCCAAAATTCCTGCTTTCCCTGTTTTTGTTTTGTTTGTTTGCCTTTTTATTCCAGGCTGAAGGGAAGAATAGAAATTTTAACAAAGTTAACAAAGTTAAAATTAAGATGATAATATTTTTCTTAAGTTTTTCTGTTTTCACTGGTCCTCTTGCAAAAAAGTTACATCAACATGCCCAGAGAAGTTAACCAGGAATATTGATTCAGGATGCGTATGGATCCAGCTCTTCCTGTTATGACGATAATGTTGCACAATACAGAATTTAATGCAGCTCTCCTTGCTCCCCCCTTTCAAGCTGAGAAACTGCCTTTATTCCCATTTTACAGATAGAACTGTGAGACTAAGGCCTAAAGCAGTCAAGAAATCACAGGAAATTAGCCATCCACCTAGGCAAAATATGACTCACCAACCTGAGACTTGAAAATCTCAGGCAGCACAGGGATACACAAATACAGAAAAGATTTCGAAGTCCCTTTGCAAGCTGCCTGCAAAGTGCTGCATATCCCGGGCTGCCACCATGCCATTTGTTTCAGAAATCTAATACTGTGCACAGAGGAAAAGAGGAAACATCCTTATTCCTCCTCCTGTCTTTATGTACAAAATATATCCTATCTGAACTCTAAATAGTGTAACACGCAATATGGAAGACACATATTTATAGATTTCTATTACATATGTGTATTATTAAATCACTACTACAAAGATTGTAAGGTTTTCTAAGATACATATAATGATACTTAGAAAAATGCTTAGAAAAACATCAACAGAACCATTATATTTAGCCATTATAAAGCTTCATTTTAAAACCAGAACTTGGTACAAGAAGTAAATTAATTATATTAGGCAGGAAATTGTTCACTAAATCAATTGTGCTACATTAGAGATCTTAACATTAAGACTACTTCCAAGGTGGCCACATGCATATTACAAGGGGTGCTAAGGTAACAAAAGACATTCCAGAAAACCTTTTGCATATCTCACATATATGTATTTCTGTTTCAGCACACATCTGTTCATATAACAACTATTTTCCATAGATATCATTTTTAGTTGGGTGTATTAACCGCTAGATACTTCCACAGAAAAATCACAGAACACGTGTATGCACTGTTTTTTATAAATCTGTTTTTAAATCTTTCCC